CTCAAGTAAAAACAAAAACTAAAGTATTCTGTAGAAAAACTACTACTGAGTAACTGTTGGATAATAACATCAGATTTAATGTTTATAAATTACCCCGGCAAACAGACTATATGTGCAGGTTCTGGTATTTTATCGAGTCAGATGCCTAAATAATACAAAATCATGAATATAAATGAACAGATTCGTGCAGAAGAAATATTTTTTTTCCCCAACATAAAATTTAGAAAATCCATTTGTTTACCTTTTAGGACAGGTAAACAAACTTCCCCTGTTAATATATACTGTTTACTGTATGTTTACCTGATTTTGTAATCGATAAATCGAGTATTTTACGCCAGTTGGAATAACAATACTTTACTATAATATTACACAAGTAAAAGTAAAGTGCGCCACAGTAAACAGACTCCTAAAAATAGATTTATTGAAATGGTTACTCAAGTAAATGTAACTTAATCACTCCCTACCTCTGAATTTAAGTCATAAAAATATCCTCTACCTACTAAATTTGAAAAATACTTTTAAAAGAAGAATGGAAAATGTCATGATGACACATATTTCATACCTGGTCATCTAGTTTGACCAAACTAATGAAGCTGAAGGACTCCTTTATGATGATAATACTGTCCTATACAGGCTGTCCTCGTTGTTTCTGGGTACTCTTTAATCATTTAATATTCACTAGTTAATTTACTACAATAGTGAAACACGTACATTTCTGTCTTGAGCAACCGATAATTGTGTCTTATTTGTAGTTTGATGAAAACTTCTCCATTTTGTGTTTTTGTGGCTGCAGTGAGGCTCAGGGCCATGAGAATCCGGTGTTTCTGGGGGGGTCGCCTCAGATAAAGACCCGCACTGTTTCCCAGATCTTGGCCAGGCAGCCCTCTGAGACAGGCCGCCACTTGCTGACCGACCCAGGAACGCCCCTCTCTCCGTCCACACAAGGGGACGTATTCTTCCCATCTGAAGGTTGGTGGAGTAGAAACCTGTACCTTGACATTATGGAACAATGAGAACATCAGCTAAACTAAAGCCCATTTTCCACCCACCTCTGGTCTTCTTAATGTAACCATTTATCAAGAGAGTAAAGAGTTTAAACATAAACATCAGCAGAAAGGCAGCGGATCACAGGATGGGATCATTTGCATCGGCCTCACTCAGCTATACTTGGAGCCTGTTTCTGGTTTTCCATTGGCTGTTGCTCTGGAGGGATGAGTCCAGCCTCCTGAGATCAAAGGAGGATTTATTTCAGAGACACTTACTCTTTTCTATAAGAGCTAATTCATACTTTACCATAGTGGGTTTGGTTTGTGCGTTACAGGGGAAAGTTTGGTTTTTATTATATATATTTTTTTGTCACTGAGTGTTTGGTATGTGGTGGAAGTCTGTTAACCTGACTCCGCCAGATGGATTTGCTC